CCCCCCCCCCCCCAGCAGTCAGTAAATAGTCGTAAACAAGTATTAGTTGTAACAAGTATTTTAAAAAACAATTTCATTATTTTATTTTATCCAAATTCTCTTTATTAACAAATGGCAAAACATACACTTTAACATGTCATTTCTCACTTACATCACAACCTTATATGATCGCGGCGACTATACGCAGGAGTCTTACAATAACTTTAAACCGCATCTGCTTTTTTTAATGAAAAATTACAGATACGTATAATAACATTTCTCTATGTAAATATATTTATGCTGTTTTCTCAATCATAAAGACTTATCAATCATGAATATGTAATTTTGTTTTTATAGATTACTTACTACGACTGTAATAATAAGACTTACTCTTACAAAAATGTTTTCTAACGAACAAATCAATAAGGTATGTTTTATAATTATAAGTTCACGTATCTTATTGAATTATTGACTATTAATAACGCTTTAATTGTGGCATGCTTCAAATAAAAACTATTCATTGTGGAGAAAATTAAATTAATGCAACTTTACACAACTGAATTAATCATATTAAGTATTAATAATTGATTATATTTGCATCTTTAAACTGTATTTTTGTATTTTTGAGGAAAATTGAGTAATATCGAGGCGTATTTTAAAATATAAACTACACTTTTTGTAATTCATGAATTAATATTAAACCGATGATTTAACTAACAAGAGTTTAGAAAAATTTCAATATCCTATTGTTATGGATTCAGTCGGTTTTTGAGAATATTTATATATCTTCCGCAAATAAAAAACCATTTTTTACAGTGCGTCTATATATATATAAAAATTTTCGAAAAATTAAGTTAAAAAAACTATATATACATTTTTATTTTAAGCAGTAGTTTTTGAAACATAAAGGCTTAAGTATAGACAATTATTACAGATTACATTAGACGGCCACATGAATTGCGCGTGCAGTAGTATTAATAAGCGCGCATTTCAGTATTTAAACATTTTAAACGTAATCCGTAATTGGCTATATTTAAATCCTTATTATTTTACAAATTTTATTGATTAAAATAAAAATGTACGAACTTCTTTACTTAATTTTTTTAAAAAAACTTTCTTACTGTGTATTTTGATTGGCGAATTTCGGGGCACTATTTGTATTCTCATTATATAGACTATATTGCTCAAATAAGGAATTAAATATATGTATCACTTATGCATATTATATATGTATACTTATCTTATAATATTATGTTAAATTAAAAATTATGTAGCATATAAAAATTAAATTAGAAAATTATATTTTATCGAATTGGCATATAAAAAGAGAAATTATTTGTTATTAAACATTTTCAACTAATATATTTCCGATAAAAAGTTTCTCAGACTCAATTAATTTTGATGATGATCCAGAAACTAAAATTGCAATTAAAAAACCGATAGAAGAGCGTGAAACTTAGGGAAGCCTCAGACTAATTCAAAAAGGGGATTTATTAGAAAAGCATTGACTTTTGAGAGATCAACCGTTGATTCAATCAATAAAAAAGAAATGTGATACATTCATTTATTAGTATAAATATCTTCTAAAAATATTTTTATTTATTACTGCCATATCGTGAATTTTTATTTATTTTTAATTATTTCTAATATTTCTCAATATTTTATTGTTGAATTTTATTAATTTATTAATAGTTTGGAAGCTATATTAATAAATTCATTGTCGAAGTTGATTATTTTATGCCATTATATTTAAATATTTTATATAAAGATACTTTAATGTGTGTACTAATCCAATATATTACGAGTAATCGAATTCACCAACAATGGCTGCGTTCAGCAGAAAAAGCAGCTTTGCAACTGTTGTAAAATTCTTGAATATGATTGGTTTATACATTTAGATCCAATGAGGAACTAAGGGCAAGATCAATCATATTGAAGAATTTTGTCGGAAGATTAATAAAGCCTTTGTGGTCCAAATTGCTCGATTAGCTAATGCTTTCTGCCCGATTAAGATTTAACGTCCAATTCAATTGTCGATATAAGTCGCAATATTCGTTACTGAGAACAAAATATCACAGTTTAAAATGTGGACATCTTTTATATTGACACGACCTTACAAACACGTATTTCCATAACATATTTGTTATAGCATCAGTGATATTGAAATTGTAGAGTCAGTATTTGAGAATCTTTCGAGGTGATAAAACGATACTTGCAATTATGCTAATATATTCCTAGTATTAATGGCTCATTGCGATAACTGTAATTAATCAATTGTAATTATTGGAATTCATCAGTATTTTAATCGGCAGATGGGTGTAATATATAAAGTAAGTTGTTAAAAAGAATAATAATTCGATAGATATTTATCTCTTGTTAAAAAAATAAAAATATCGTCATAAAAAGTATTTAAAGAATGCCAAAACCAAAAAACCTACTAAAAAATCCCACTCGATTTATGTATAGAAAACGTTTTCTGTCAATTTGCTAAAATTATTACATTTCTTACAGCTCTCATTATCAATTGCAATAGGAGAAACACTTTTATGTTAAGTTTCTAAGTTAAAGGCATTTAACACAGATATCGACATGGAATTTCTAAAATTATTATTAAATCTCAGTCTACATATAATATTGGTCACAAACAGCGTTTTTTGTGCCAACAATGGTTTAGAAATTATCCGTTTACCCAACAATACAGTACCATTATTCTATAACATTTCTCTGATAATGAATCTTGAAGAAAACGACATTACTTTTTACGGTGAATCCAATATTAAAATTGAGATTCGTTATGCATCGTTAAATAGTATAAACTTGCATGCAAAAGCATTAGAATTAAATACAATGGCGACAACGTTGATTAATGACAACGGTACAGTTTATAAACCAATAAAACATTCCAGTGACATTGAAATGGATATCTTGACACTTAATTTCAAAAATACATTGTCACCCGGCTTTTACACTCTTGAAATGAAATTTGAAGGTTTTATACGAGAGAATAGTTTTTTCAATAGTGGTTTTATGAAATTTCCATATACATATAAAGGACAAAATAATATGTAAGTATAAAACGTTAAAATATTAAAAAGTATAAACTAATGTAAAATATTAAAAATACTCGATAACACGTTGCTAAACATATTTTCGTAATTATACTTAAAAGCGTTTTTCAGTATGTAAATATAATTACAATGTATATATTAAGTAATAATTAATATTAGAATGTATATATAATATGTAATATTTAGTAACTTTAATTCTAAATAAAAAATAGTACGTATCAACTTTTCTTTTAAAAAAAATTATTATTATATTATTATATAACAATATAAATAATGAGTGTTCTTAAAATTTTTAAATCATCCAACATAAGTGAAAAATTTGTCGTTACTTAAAACATTTTATTAAATTGTAGAATGGTTGCAACGTATTCGGAGCCGAAAGGAGCTAGACGAATGTTTCCGTGTTGGGACGAACCAGCGTTTAAAGCCATCTTTAATATTTCTATAATACATCATGTGAAATATTTGGCATTGTCAAATATGCCTGTAGTAGAAAGGGAATTTTTTGAAAATAATGTAACGTGTACGTACTTCAACGTTTCTCCAATAATGTCCACTTACCTTGTAGAGATTATCGTAATCCCCATGATTGATTTTCACCATCTTTCCAACGACAAAGAAACCATTAATGTGTGGTGCAGATCGTTATTGAAATCTCAAATAACATTTGTGTATAATGTTATTGAAAAGGTTATGCCATTCTTGATCCAATATACCAATAGTTCTGAAAAGGTACCGAAAATGGATCACTTCCTCATACCAAATTTTCCGGTTGACGGCATGGAACATTGGGGACTCCTCACTTATAAGTAATGAACATATATGTATAATTAAAAAGAAATTAATTAAACTATTAAAGTTAGCAAATATTATTCTTATTATTCAAAATTTAGTAATTTAGAACGTATGCATATTTCACAGATATAAAAAAATGCATATTTTCATGTTTAGATTATCTAAAATAGTTAATATGTTTAATATATATATTACGGGTTCCTCCTTGTTTCAATTCAATTACGTATATGTATGTATATACAGAATATTGCTAATGTGTGACCCAACCCCTAGATCTCGTAAACGGCTTTAGAAAATTAAAACTCTTAGTATATTAAGGAAACAGATGATGAAAACATAGATTTATGCCCAATTTTTTCACCTCTAAATAACTTTATCCAAGAGATATCTCCTGAATAAGGTTATTCGCAACTTATCCGATAATGAAGAAATTGGGCATTAGAAGAGCCTATTCAAGGCCAAGTTAATATGTTCAATATTTTCTTATATAGAATCCACCATTTTTCGCTACAACTCTTGTAATTTACTTTGAGAGCTTTAACAACATATACCAAAACATTATTATTTATTAAATATTTTCTATTGTATAACATTTAAAAAATTACCAACATTAGGATAATGAAAGGTGTTTAACTGACAGCTAAAACATTTTGAATAATGTTCAGAATCACGATCTTGATAATTTCATTTGTCAATGTCAAGGCCACTAGAGGTGGTTCCTCTCTTTTTCATATATTCTTATGTAATACATAAAAAATATTCTTATTGTACATTAAAAAAAATTATATATGTATAAAAAATATTTACACATTTGAATTACTCGGGAATACATTACATTAGATTGCATATTCACAACAGGAATATTTTATATTACGTTCTGTCTTTCAGGGAATCATCAGTTATCTACGACGCTAACGAACATCCAGTAAATAAGAAAGCAGAAATAGCAAAGATAGTAACACATGAAATTGCTCATCAATGGTTTGGTAATTTGGTCACACCGTCTTGGTGGTCTTACCACTGGTTAAAAGAGGGACTTGCTTCGTTCTTCCATACGTACATCATAGACAAGGTTATTTAATATTATTACATAATGCAAAGTTGCTTGTTATTAGAAAAAACTTTGAATTATATTTTAATGTAAGTTTAAAATGTGGTACCAGTATTAAATAAGGCGTTTTCATCAAATGTATTAAGATATATAACATAGAATTAAATAAAAGATAGCATGTGCTTTAATTTAGATTTATATTTTAATATTGAACAATTTTGAGTAATCACTCTCTCCAATATATCTAATAGTAATTAAATTAGATATGACTGTTCTTAAAGAATTCGATACAAAAGAGTTAATAGAATGTAGGCGTCATAAAAAGTAATATTGAGAACTTGTAAAATTGGAAGTGACAAACAAACTGATTTTTTATTTCTAATTCGGAATTTTTAATATTCAGTCACACGAAATATCATTTTTTCTTCAGATTTTCGATAATTGGCGGACAATGGAATCTTTTGTGATTGAGGAATTCCGCAAAAGTTTGTCGGTTGATAAAGGCGCATTGGGTCCAGTCACATTGGAACTTGATAGTACCTTTGACAGACAGAATCTGCTTAGTTTTGTAGTTTATCATAAAGGTAAGATTATGTAAATATAATTAAACTATTATCTATTATAGATTTCTTAATGTATGTAGTACAAAGAAAAATATAAAATAGAAGACTAAAACAAACAAATTCTGCTTTTGCTCTATATATACTTACATATGTGTATTACATTGTATACGTTAATTTTATGTGCACTTTAACTGTATCATTAATCGATATTCGATGCACTATTGTAGCGACAGTTTTATTGCGCATGTTGCAAAATACAATTACCGACGAGGTATTTCGAAAGGGTTTTGTCATATATTTGGCCAAACAGTAAGTATGTGTAACATATATTTATTATATATCACAATACTAAGTATCATAAATGTAATAATATCTTTTGTATTCGTGATGAAAAGTGTACTATTTCAACAGAAACATAAAGTTAGACACTTGAGATATCGCATTACTGTTCAATTATAGTTCAATCATATACACTTTACTTTTTAATAATTATAATTTAACTTAAATTAAATTTGAGTTACATTCTAAATTTTTGCATGCGTGATATTTATATATTAAATTGTACATTAATATTCACGTAGATTCTTCAATGGCAAATTTAAATATTTCCCGATACATGACTATGATGTTAACAATCGGTTTTTTATTTAGTGAATACGGATCAACCACTCCGGATGATTTGTGGAACGCCATGCAAACTGCTTTAGACGAATCTGATGTCCCACACGAACATTATAGAATAAAGGAAGTAATGGACACATGGATGAATCAAAAAAGTTATCCCGAGGTGAACGTGTTGAAAAATTACACAACTGGTGAAGTAACAATATCTCAAGAATGTATTTACGGAGAGGAAACTAATAACAAATGGTGGGTACCCATAACTTTTGTAACACAGTCCAATCCGGACTTCTCCAATACTGTGCCTAGATATTGGTTACGACCAGATCGAAATATAACCTTTACAATTGATCCAAATGATTGGATTATTGTTAATATACAACAAACTGGTATGTATGGCTCAATTAATTTATACTGCTTGATTTATTTTATTCGTTCTATTGTCAAGTTTTACATCGTTCTACAAAGTTCTAAATCGTTGAACTTTATACTTATTTTTTTATATATAAAAACTTAAAAGAGATTTATATGATTACGTTCTCCGAAACTTTAGCCAAATATTAATATGAGTATATTTGTATATATGTATACCTATATATATATATATATGTTATATGTATGTATGCGTGTGTGTGTTACATTAAGAAAAGGCAATTATAAATATCTAAAAATATGTCTCAATGAATTCAATTAAAAGGATCTAATAATGTATATATACATATGTATATATATATAATGAATTTAATAACGTACATTATATATATATATTATATATATATGTATATATATATAATGAATAATGCAATAGGATACTATCGTGTAAATTACGATATGAAGAATTGGAAAAAAATTTCATATTACTTAAATTCTGTGAAATTCACGAATATACACGTTCTCAATCGTGCTCAACTTATCGATGATCTTTTTGACTTTGTGGATGGAAGAATAAGTGGATTCGTCTTTGTTAATCATATAAGATATCTACACCGAGAAGTCGATTATGTGGCATGGTATCCATTACTGTTCCGAGTTATACCATGGTTAAAGAATAATTTTCTTTTCCTGGCAGATGCCAGAGATGTCAAGGTAGATAACAGAGTTCATAAAGGTATATCTGTAATATTATAGTCGACTCTTCAGTTTTTATAGTTCTACATTTATATATTCTTTGTAATATTAATCGAAATTACGTCGTAAATATGATATTGTAAGCATTATATATTTTACATAGAATTTTTTTATTGGTATAAATATAAATCAGTAATAAGCCGTAACATTTATAGTACGTAATTTTATAATGTCATATCTTTAGAGTAGAAATGGAGAATATAATCAGTACAGTAATAATTATTTTACGAACACATAATGCTCGCTATAATTAATAGTACCAATACACATTGACTGCAATCCTTAGCGTATTTTACATGTCTTATTGTTTACACATTATATCATAGTGATATTTAAATCATAGTGAAATCACTATAACAGTATATAACGGTATAAAATATCAAGTAATATATTTAAATTATAAATATATCATCATACGCGATGTATTTCCCTGAGAAGTTATTTTACAAAAATATGGCCTTTTTTATAAGAAAAGCTAAGTCGTCCATCAGACGCATGATCAGATGAAGTTTTCGTCTTGAATTTGTGTAATATAATCTTTCAAAAGCTTTTAAAGTATATGAAGTATCTCATTTAATGCTAAATATTCCTAAAACAGTCGTAAAGCGTTCCCAAAATAACATTTCAAAAGTTTTCTGCAAAATATTTACAGAATGTAAGAGCAACATTCGAATAATTGTTAAATGTTCCATTTATACATATATCGTTACATATTCGAAACATGTTTCATATATATCCTGCAAAAATTGTAATAATCTCACAAATTTCAGATCCGGAGATCCTCGAATTTATTTTTACTGAATTGATTTTCATAATATATATAGAATAAAAGAATGTATGTGCATATAACATTTTGAACACTTCACGAATGTTTAAACATTCTATAAAAATTTGTTTGACCTTTCAGCACATTGGGAATACAAATCGAACTTTTCATAAATGCAAATACCAATAATCCAAATGTAAAACCAATATATTATTATTTCATGATTTCTAGTTAATGATAATGGCACTCCTTACCGATCTTCTTCGAAATATAGAATACTCAGAAGATATTGGTGATGATCTTATTACAAACAAGGTAAGACTAGAAGCCATAAAATGGTCATGTACCATCGGTGACTGGCTTTGTAAGAATAAGATGGCTATTAAATTAAACCAACATCTCGCGGATCCTGAACTTTACAGGTAACTTATACAATTTCAATGATCTTATAAATTGTATTTGTATGTGCGTGTGTGCTCGCGCGAGTGCAAGCAGCATATCGATAAATCAAACAGTCTCCTTACTGTTTGCCTCAATCAACATTCCATGTTATTCTAATAACGTAATGCATAGAATGAATACGACGTTGTAAGTAAAAATATCCAATAAATTATTAAGCAGTATACCGATAGAATAATTTTTTATTTGTTTCTTCATTGTAAAATGATTAACACATAAAACAAGTATTATATAGAATGGAAAAGTAGCGCAGAATTTAATTTTACAATGTAAAATTAATAAGGCAAAGAACATTAATATATGAAACTTGATGAAATAGAAATCATTCATACATATAAATTAAATGTATATATCTTTTCTTGATAGACACATATATATATATATATATATTTTAGATTTCCACCAGAGCATCATTTTATGTATTGTATTGGTTTGATGGTAGCCAATAGAAGTACTTGGGATAAAATGTTTGAATTATATCAAGAAACAGATCCAAAAAAGGAAAAATTTAAAAAAATGTTGTTGAATAGTTTGACTTGCACCGACAATTTTGATATTATCACCAACTTTTTAAATATTACAGCATTCAACACTTCATTATTTCATGAAAAGGAACATTCTCTTGTCTTAAAATCTATTCTTGATAAGCATTTAAACAACGATTTCATCCTTGAATATGTATTGGACAATTTTCAAACTATAAAACCCAAGTAATAGTATATCCCTTTGTAAATATAGTCTTATTCTCAATCATAAAGACATATTAATCATAGATATATTATTTTGTTTTTATAGATCACTTACTACAACTGCAATAATGAAACTTATTCTTCGGAATATTTTTTATAATGAACAAATCGATAAGGTATGTTTTATGATTCTAAATTTACATATTTATTGACTTATCGATTATCAAATCAATAAAGCTAAACTAAAAAGTTGTGGCGCGTTTGAAATAAAAACCACTTGTTGCAATAAATATAAATTACTTCAACTTTATGTAATTAAATTAATAATAACATTAATAACTAATTATGTTTGCATCTTTAAACTATTTTTGAAGAATGTCACGTAAAATCAAATAATACGTGACGCGCATTTTAAAATCTAAACTGAATTAGGTATAAGAAATTATACTCGTTACTAAACGTCTCCAATTAATCTGTTTCAGATAAAAGTATTCTCGGACATTAATTTTAATAATACTTCAGAAACTCTGAATGCAGTTAAAAAACTGATAGAAAAGCGTGAAAATTTTCTTAAGAAATGCCTAGATGATTTTAAGAGATGGTTTTTTTTAGAAGAGTATTAACTTAATTGAAAAGAAATATAATACAAAACATACATTTATATCCATAAACTTTCTAAAAATATTATTTTTACTTATTACTGTCATTCGTGAATAATTTTTTACGTATTTTCAATTATTTCTAATATTTTTCAATGCTGTAATATTTAGTAATTTTTAATAATAGCTATACATACATATATATATATTATAACAAAATCTATATGATATACACGTCACTTTTCTGTATTAAAAAATAATTCATATAATATTATATAATATGAAACGATCTCTGAAGTCGTTTATAAAATATTTTTGTAACTACAGTAGGTACTCTGATTATTACATTTGATACAGATCGAGCACATGCAATTAAATAAATTGTCTTTGTTGTTAAAAATATAATACTGTCTAAATATTATTTTTTGTATAATAATATCGCTTATGCTAACAACGATACTTAAGCTATTTATAGTATTACTATTATTATTATATATATATAACGTATACTTGCTCGATTTGGAATAGAACAAATTAGTAATGACGTCACCTTGTAATAATGACTTATCTGTAATAAAAGTACCTTTATTTAAATAATAATAATTATTATTATATAAATATAAAATATATACCTATAAAAATATACCTAAAAATATATACCTAATACACATCAATACATCATCTTATCTTTAATGTTTACCAATATTAGAGAAGAATAAAATGATATATCATGTAAATCATATGCATGAAACGGAATTCACTTCTAATTGTAATGTTTCGCCATGTTTGTCTTCTTTGAGATTGACCTATCAAGAAACAGGTTGTAAATGTCCAAACTTTTACATGTTGCAGATTGCGCTGTAATATCGCTACAACATTGTAAATATTAGGAATTGTAATATATAATACATATTACGGCACAAGATTTTACAAATCTTGCAGCATTGTTACAGAGACGTTAAAAAAATATTGTAACTTTTGAGTAATGAACTCCTGTCACACGTGGAAATAACATACGTAAATTACACGTTATGTGATTGTTAATTACTCCATTAATTTATGGCTTCTGCACCCTGGACGCGGAAACGCTTGACGTGCGGCAAAACGTGACGCAGTAACCAATGAACATTTTATGAGCTTATTATACTGCATCGTATTTGTCCGTGGCAAGTGTTTTCGCGTACAGTGTGCGGGAGCCATTAGAATTATAGTGTTCATTGAAACATTTATTGTCACCACCGAGCGATAAGATTTTTCAAATTTTACAATCAGCAGAGAGTCCGAATCACGATGCTGTTTATTTCCACACCAAGCGCCGCGCGTCGCAAAATGCAATGCCGTCTACGTAGCCGCGCTGCTACAATCTAGAGGTGCATTCGGGAAACCGCTATTAGCGCTATTTGTGTTCTCCTGTACTTGTTTATGTTACTAATAAGTAATAAAGATAGAATAGTATAAATAACGTTAATCATGTCTTCCCAAATGCACTCTATGTCTCATGAAGAAAAGCAAATTCGTTGAAGTGCAACACAGTAAATCATTATATTCTTGTTTGTCAATGTTAAATAAAGATGAAATAATCACTGTGTTATATTGTGCCTGTTGCTGGAAAGTATCATTTGACAAGCATAAGTTTTATTATTGTTTTTTGATATTAAAATTTGCATTTTATTTAAAATTTTACTGAAAGATTAACAAAAAAGCCTCGAAGTCCAAATTGCTCGATTAGTTAATGCTATCTGCCTGGTTAAGATTTAACGTTCAGTCAAGATACTCAGTTCAATTGTCGATATAAGTCACAATATCCGTCACTAAGAACAAAAGAATGACAGTTTAAAATGTGGACATATTTTATATTGACTCGACCTTACAAGTATTTACATAACAAATTCGTTATAACATCAGTGATATTGAAATTGTAGAGTCAGTATTTGGAGATCTTTCGAGGTGATAAAAGCGGTACTCGCAGTTATGCTAATATATTCCTAATATTAACGGCTCATTGCGATAACTGTAATTAATCAATTATAATTATCGGAATTCATCAGGATATTAATCAGCAGATGGATGTAATATATAAAGTAAGTTGTCAAAAAGAAAAACAATTCCATAGATATTTATGTCTTATTAAAAATATAAAAATATATTTACATAAAATATAAAATCATATTTAAAGATTGTCAACACCCAAAAAAACTACAAAAAAATCCCATACAGATTTATGTTTTAGAAAACGTTTAGTTTAAGAAAACGTTTTCAGTCAGTTTGTTTAAATTATTATATACGTTTCTTGTAGCCCTCATTAAAAATTGCAATAAGATACACTTTTATGACAATTTCTAAGTTAAAAGTATTTAAAACATTGCAGATACGCATCGACATGGGATTTCTGAAATTATTATTAAATTTTAGTCTATATATAACATTGATAAACAGCGTATTTTGTGTCAATAATGATTTAAAAATTATCGACCGTTTACCCAACAATACATTACCACTTCTCTATGACATTTCTCTGACACTGAATCTTGAAGAAGGCAACGTTACTTTTCACGGTAAATCCAGTGTCAAAATTGAGATCCGTTATGCACCGTTAAATAACATAAGTTTGCATTGCAAAGAATTAAAAGTAAATGAAATGGCAACAACGTTAATTAATGACAACGGCACAGTTTATAAACCGATAGAACATTCCTATAACAATGTAATGGACATTTTAACACTTAATTTCGAAAATGCATTATCACCCGGTTTGTACACACTTAATATGGTATTTGCCGGTATTATATCTGAGCATAGTATTTACAAAACTGGTTTTATGATATTTCCGTACACAGAAAAAGAAAAAAAATATATGTAAGTATAAAACGTTGAAATATTAAAAGTATAAACTTTTAAAATTGAAAAACACTCAATTAAACGTTGCTATATATTTTTTCGCAATTATACTTAAAAATGTTTTTCAATAACATAATTACAATGTACAAATTATAAATATATATATATATATATAACGTAATATTTAATAGTTTTAATTCAAAATAAAAATATTATGGCGTTTCAGTTTTGTTTTAAAAAAAATTAATATTATTATGTTATAATATAACAATAAATATAAATAATTAGTGTCCTTTAAATTTTTATATCATTCAACATAAGTGGAAAATTTGCCGTTACTTAAAACATTTTATTAAATTGTAGAGTAGTCGCAACGAATTTGGAACCGAAAGGAGCTAGACGAATATTTCCGTGTTGGGACGAGCCAGCGTTAAAAGCCATCTTCAACATTTCTGTAATGCATAGTGCGAAATATCTGACATTGTCAAATATGCCTATAGTACGACAGAAATTCGTTGAAAATTTTATGATGTGGACGTACTTCAACGCTTCTCCAATAATGTCCACTTATCTCGTGGCGATTATCGTATTCCCCTTGTTTGATTTTAACAGCTTTTCCAATGAAAAAAAAACCGTCAATATATGGTGTAGATCGTTTATATCATCGCAATTAACATTTGCGTATGTTATTGAAAAGGCCACGTCATTCTTGATCCAATATACCAATAGTTCCGAAAAGATACCGAAAATAGATCACTTTATCATACCGAATTTTCCGGTTATAGCCATGGAAAATTGGGGACTCATTACATACAAGTAATATACATAATTTAAAAAATATTAATTTAGCTATTAAAGTTAGCAAATATTATTTTTCACATGTAAAACTCAACAATTAAAAGCTTGTGCAAATTTCACAGATGTCAAAGTATACATATTTTCTTGTTTAGATTATCTAAAATAATTAATGTATTTAATATTACAGCTTCCCACTTTTTTCAATCCAATGATATATATATATATATATATATATATATACATATATACAGAATATTTCTAAAGTGTGATCTAATCTTTGGATCTCAGAAACGGCTTTAGATACGGAAAAATAAAAGTTTGAGTATATAAAGGGAACATATGATGGAAACATTCACCTGACCTTTTCAAGGTCAAATCAATGTGATCGATGTTTTCTTATATAGAATAATTGCTTATGTACATAAGAAATATAGAATCTCTCATTTTTCGCTACAACTCTTGTAACTTATTTCGAATGCTTTCTTTGAAACAATGCATATAATAAAGTTTATTTTTGTTAAGTATTTTCTGAGTTATGAGATTTAAATATTACAATATTGTCATCATTAGAATAATGCAAGTTGTCCTATTGACAGCTAAAATGTTTTAAACGTTATTCAGGGTCATTATCTTGATAATTTTATTTTTCAAGTTTAAGATCACTAGATGTGGTTTCTCTCATTTTCATACTTATATACATCAGAAATTACTCTTATTGTATATAAGAAAAAATATATACAAAATTATATACATATATAAAAAAATTAAAACATCTGAGTTATTTGCAAATAACATAATAACCTCGGAGTGCATTAGATTGCATATTCACAACAGGAACATTTTATATTACGTTCTGTCTTTCAGTGAATCATCAGTTACCTATGATGATGACAAAGATCTATCGTATAAGAAAGCAGAAGTGGCAGCGACAGTAATACATGAAATTGCACTTCAATGGTTTGGAAATTTGGTCACTCCATCTTGGTGGTCATACCAATGGTTAAAAGAGGGATTTGCTACGTTCCTCCAGTCGTACATCATCGACAAGGTTATTTAATATTACTATATAATGTAATGTTGATTATTATTAAAAAAAACTTCGAAACACATTTTAATCTGAGATTATGCCAGTATTAAATACAATTAAATAAGACGTTTTTATAAAATATATTTAGATATATAATATGGAATTAAATAAAAGATAGCATGTGCTTTACTTTAGAATTATATTTTGATATTGAATAATTTTGAGTAATATATCTAATATATATCTAATAGTAATATATATCTAATAGTAATTACTAGATACTACTCTCTCTCTCTCTCTCTACTTAAAGGATTTTATATGAAAAAGATTAATAGAATGTAGGCGTTATAAAAAGTAAAATTGCGAAGTTTTAAAATTGAAAATGGTAAACAAATGTTTTATTTCTAATGAGAACTCTTAATCAAATTCTTAATATTCACACCACATAACATTTTTTCTTTAGATTTTCAAAGATTGGCGGACAATGGATTTTTTTGTGATTGAAAACTTACAGAATTGCTTGAGGAGAGATAATGGCACGTTGGGTCCTGTTAAACTGGAACTTAATAGTACCTTTGACAAACGGGATCTATTTTCTATTGTAGTTTATCGTAAAGGTAAGATTATGTAAATATAATTAAATTATTATCTATTATAGATTTCTTAATGTATGTAGTAGAAAGAAATTAATAACACACAAAAACAAATAAATTCTTCGTTTGTATAATATATACTTGCATTGTTGCATATATGTATATATTACATTACATACCTTAACTTTGTACTTTAACTATATCATTTAATCGATATTTGGTGCATTATTGTAGCGGCAGTTATATTGCGCATGTTACACCATACAATTACCGACGAAATATTTCGAAAGGGTGTTGTCATATATTTGGCCACGCAGTAAGTGTGTGTTACATAAAAAAGTTTATTATATATATCATAGTACTAAGTATCGTAAATGTAATAATACTTTTTGCATTTATGATGAAAAGTATAATAGTATTTTATCAGAAACAGGAAATTAGGCATTTGAGATATCGCATTAGTATTCATTTATAGGCCATTCACACTTTACTTTTTACTAATTATAATTTAACTTAAATTAATTTTTTGAGTTTTATTATAAATTTTTGCATACATAATATTTAAAAATTAAATTGTACATTAATATTCACGTAGAGTCTTTCTGTATGGTAAATTTAAATATATTTCTCGATACATGACTATGATGTTAACAATTGTTTTTTATTTAGTGAATATGGATCAACCACTCCGGATGATTTGTGGAACGCCATGCAAACTGCTTTAGACGAATCTGATGTCCCACACGAGCATTATAGAATAAAGGAAGTAATGGACACGTGGATGAATCAAAAGAGTTATCCCGAGGTGAACGTGTTGAAAAATTACATAACTGGCGAAATAACAATATCTCAAAAATGTGTTTACGGGCAAGAAATTAATAACAAATGGTGGATACCCATAACTTTTGCCACGCAGTCCAATCCGGATTTCTCCAATACTGTTCCCAGATATTGGTTACGACCAGACCGAAATATAACCTTTACAATTGATCCAAATGATTGGATTATTGTTAATATACAACAAAGTGGTAAATATGGCCCAAAAAATTTATGCTACTTGATTTATTTTATTTGTTTCATTATCAACTTCTGTATCGTTCAATTTTATACGTTTTTTTTATTTAGAAAAACTTAAAAGGGATCGTATGATTACGTTCTTCAAAACTTTAGCCAAATATTAATTAATGTAAAATAAATTTAATTCATAATTTTTATATTTCTTTAAACATTTACAAGTATACATATATACTTCTTACATTAAGAAAATGCAACTATACATATATATTTGAAAATATGTCTCAATAAATTCAATTAATAGGCTCTAATAATAAATGTAATGTGTTAGGATATTATCGTGTTAATTACGATATGAAGAATTGGGACAAAATTTCATCTTATTTAAAATCTATGGAATTCACGAATATACACGTTCTTAATCGTGCTCAACTCATTAATGATCTTTTCGGTTTCGTGGATGGAAGAATAAGTGGATTCGTCTTTGTTAATCTTATAAAATATCTACACCGAGAAGTCGATTATGTTCCATGGTATCCACTATTGTTTGAAATTATGCCAGAGTTAAATAAATTTTTTTTCCTGACAGAGGCCAGAGATATCAAGGTAGATAACAGAGTTCATAAGGGTATATCTATAATTTTACAGTAAACTCTTCAGTTTTTATAGTTGTATATTTATATATTCTCCGTAATGTCAATCGGAATATTCTGTCATAAATATGATACCGTAGGCATTAATTAAATACTGTAAAAAAAGAATTCTTTTATTAATATAAATATAAATTAACAAGCCATAACATTTATAGTACGTAACTTTATAATGTTATATCTTAACTTTATAATAGAAATAAAGAATACAATCGGTATAATAATAATTATTTTGCAAACGCATAATGCTCGTTGTAATTAATACATTTTTACTGCAATGCTTAGTGTATTTTACATGTCTTATTGTTTAAACATTACATCCTAATGAAATTTAAATCATAGTGAAATCACTATAATAGCATATAACGGTATTAAAATATTAAGTAATATGTTTAAATTATATAATACGTAATGTATTTCTCTGAGAAGCCTTTTTGCAAAAATACGGCCTTTTCTATGGAAAAAAACTATGCCGGTTCAGACATATGGTCGGATGAAGTTTCCGTCTTAAATTTGTGTAAAGATTCATCCTTCAAAATCTTTCAAATAATTTAGTGTATGGAGTATCCCATCTAACGCTAAATATTCCTGAAATATTCGTAAAATGTTCCCAAAATTCCAAAATAACATTCCGAAAGTTTTCCGCAAAATATTTACAGAATGTAAGAGCAACATTCGAATAATCGTTAAATGTTTCATTGATACACATATTGTTACGTATTTGGAACATCTTCTTTATATATTTCGCAAAATTGTAATAATTCAGGTCCAGAGGTCCTTGTATTAATTTTTACTGGATTGATTTTCGTGATATACAATATATATATATAGAATATAAGGACGTATGTGCGTAACATTTTGAATATTTCATTAATATTTATACATCCTGTAAAAATTTTTTTGTCGTTCCGACACATTGAGAACACAAATTGAATTTTTTATGAATACAAATACCATTAAGCCAAGTATAAAACCAATTCATTATTTTACAATTTCAAGGAAACTGCAATGACAATCCTTAGCGACCTTCTTGAAAAAATAGGATACTTAGAAAATACTGATGATCATTATATTATGAAACAGGTAAGACTAGAAGCCATAAAATGGGCATGTACCATCGGTGATGGGTTTTGCAAGAATACGATAGCCTTTAGATTAAGTCGACATCTTGCGGATCCTGAACTTTACAGGTAACTTTTATACAATTTTAATTATTTCATAAATTGTATTTGTATGTGTGTTTGCGTGTGTGTGTGTATACGCGCGCATACACGAGGCATACATATCAATATAGCCAAAGCAAACACACACACAGTCTCCTTACTGTTTTCCTTCAATCTACATTCTATGTTATTCTAATAACGTAATGCATAGACTGAATATAGTGTTGTAATTAAAAATATACATTGTTAAGAGCGACATTACCGAAAGAATCTTTTTTCATTTGTTTCTTCATTGTAAAATGATTACGTAACAAGTATTATCAAGAATAGTAGTAGCGCAGAATGGGAATTTAATTTTACAAAGTAAAATTGCGTAATAATGCATAGAACATTAGTATATGATACTTCATAAAATAGGTAATTCATACATATAAATTAAATGTATATATCTTTTCTTGATAGAGACATATATACCTTTCCACCAGGGCATGATTTTATGTATTGTATTGGTATGATGACTGCCAATAGGACTACTTGGGATAGAATGTTAGAATTATATCAAAAGACAGATCCACAAAAGAAAGAATTAAAAGAAAGATTGTTGAACAGTTTGAGTTGCGCCGAAAATTCTGATATTATCATCAACTATTTAAATAATATATTCAACACTTCATTATTTCACAAAAAGGATCATTTTTTTATTTTCTTGTCTATTCTTGATAAGCATTCGAACAACAATTTGATCCTTGACTACATATTGAAAAATTTTGAAACTATAAGACCCAAGTAATAACATTTCTCTTTATAAATATAGTTTTCTCAATCATAAAGACTTATTAATCATGAATATATTACTTTTGTCTTTACAGATCATCTAATACAATTGTAATATTAAAACATATTCTTCAGAATGTTTTTTATGATGAACAAATCGATAAGGTATATTTTATGATTCTAAATTTACATACTTATTGTTTTATCGACTATCAAATCGATAAAGCTTTAACTGTGGCGCGCTTCGAATAAAAACTATTTGTCGCGATGGATATAAGTTATTTCAACTTTATATAATTCAATTCATAATGATATTAATAATTAATTATGTTTGCATCTTTTAACTATTTTTGAAGAAAATCACGTTGTAAAATCGAATAATACCGTGACGCACATTTTAAAATCTAATCTGAATCATGGTATAAGAAATTATACTTGTTATCAAACATCTTCAATTAATCTATTTCAGATAGAAACATTCTCGGACTTTACTTTTATTCACGATCCGGAAATTTGGAATGCAGTTCCAACACTGGTAGAAGAGCGTAAAAAAGAACTTAAAGGATACAAAGACACTTTTAAAAAATTATTTTTTTATTAGGGCATCAACTTTAATGATCGACTCTTTATCCGATCAATCAAAAAGAAATATAATACAAAACATACATTTATCTTCATAAACTTTCTAAAAATATTATTTTTACTTGTTACTGCCATTCGTGAATAATTTTTTACGTATTTTTAATTATTTCTAATATTTTTCAATGCTGTAATATTTATAGTCTAGAAGCTATATATGTATTATAACAGAATCTATGTGATACGTTAATCTCCTAGATTGAAAAATAATCCATGTAATACTGTATAATATGAAATGCTCTCTGAAGTAGTTTATAAAATATTTTTATAACCGCAGTACTCTGATTATTACACTCGATGCAGTTCGAGCACATGCAATTAAACTGTCTCTGTTGATATAATACTATCTAAATATTATTTTTATATAATAATATCGCTTATACTAACAATGGTACTTATAAGCTATGTATTTATGATATTATTACAATGTATAGTAGTTGCTCGATTTGGAATAAAAGAAATAAGTAATTACGTCACCTTGTAATAATGAGCTATCTATCATAAAGTAGTTTTATTTAAATAGTAGTTATTATATTATTATATATAAAGTATAGAGGAAAGCCCCCTATTATGAGATAGGCGCCATATATGAGATATATAGCGGTGTGTCTGTTAAACCAATAAACGCTATTTATTGGTTTCACCATGAATTTATTGCTCTTGGATTGAAAACTATTTAGTAGAAAATTAATTATTAGATTATGCTTGTAGTCATTGTAAAAAAAGATTTTAGAATTTGGATGTCTTTCATTGAGATAAGCCTTTCAGCCTTGTTTATTATTTAATAAATAAATATTTGGCAATAAATTCTTTATATAATAATAGAGTAAGGTCGTACTAATAGAAAAATACGGAATATATTGGAATGCTTAATTACAGAAGTTAGATTTGATGATTGTAAAACCGTGAGGCATGGAAATCGTAATATGAGATACCTAGGGTATTTCTAATATGAAATAATCCATTCTCCCATGTGTCATACCCAGTGAGAAATAACAATGGAATCGATGTTAAATTGATGGTTTCGACGTTGAATCGACAATTCGATGTCGATTCCATTGTCATTTCTCACTGGGTATATAGTGAAAATCGTTGCTAAAGTATGAATGTTATTGTACAGTAACAAAAAGGACAATCGAAGATTAGTTGATTCGTTTATGCACTATGCGTTATGCGTTATGCAAGAGTCTGTGCTGTGGTCTAATGCGAGGTCTACAATAGAAATCGTTGCGGTCGTAGAGCCTTAAGTCGTAAAAAATTAACCAATCGCAATCGAATATGAGAAAAATAATCGACTATTAGCGTTTTTGGCCCGACCGGGTTTGCACCAACCT